AGTTCCTCAAGTGCTTTTCAGCCATTTTAGATTCCTCCATTGAGAATTCTTTATTTAGTTCTGTATCCCACTTTTAATTGGGTTATTTGGTGTTTTGATAACTAGCTTCTTGAGTTTTTTATGTTTTGGAAGTCAGCCCTCTGACAGATGTGGGTTGGTGAAGATATTTTCCAATTCTGTGGGCTGCTTTTTTGTTTTGTTGACTGTTTCCTTTGCCTTACAGAAGCCTCCCAGTTTCAGGAGGCACCATTTATTAATTGGCGATCTCAGTGTCTGTGCTACTCATGTTATGTTGAGGAATTGGTCTCCTGTACAAATTTGTTCAAGGGTACCTCCCACTTTCTCTTCTAAGAGTTTCAGTTTGCCTGGATTTATGTTGAGGTCTTTGATCCATTCTTAAGTTTTGCCTATAGCAATAGATATAAATCTATCTGCAATCTTCTACACAGCAGCATCCAGTTATGCCATGCTTTCATTTTTCCATTGTATAAATGTAGCTTCTTTGTCAAAAATCAGATGTTTGTAGGTATGTGGGTTAATATCAATTCAATTCCATTGGTCTACCTGTCTAAGCAAGATATACATAGTACCCCAGAGAAGGAGAAGGGGACAAGATCTCCTGAGGAAATTGGGAGCATAGAGGGAGGGGAGAGGTAGTTAGGAGAAAGAGAAGGGGAGAAGAGGAATGGAGAGGTGGGCATGAGGGAACAGCAATATTGAGACAGGGAAAGAAAAGAAGAGAACAAGCAAAGAGATACAATAATAGAGGGAGCTATTATAGATTTATGGAGAAATCTGGCACTACGGATATGCCCAGAGATTTACAAGGATGAACCCAACTAACAATCTAAGGAATAGTGAAGAGGCTACCTTTATTATCCTTCCACAATAATGAGTTGAATACTACCTTATATGCCATCATAGAGCCTTCATCTAGTAGCTAATGGAAGCAGAAGCAGACAATCATATATAAACACTAGCCAAACTCCTGGAATCCAGTTATAGATAGGGAGGAGTGATGAGCAAAGGGGTCAAGACCAAGCTGGAGAAACCCACAGAATCAGCTGACATAAACAAAGTGGAGCTGATAGCTTGGAAACCAGCATAGGACTGACCCAGATCTCCTGAATGTGGATATTAATGGAGGAGGACTGAGCAGTAAATGGGGCTTCTAGTAATGGATCAGTATTTATCCCTAGTATAGGAACAGACTTTGGGAGCCCATCCCACATAGAGAGATACTTTCTCAGCCTAGATACATGGGGGAGGAACTAGGCACTGCCTCAAATGATGTGACAGTCTTTGAAGATTCCCCATGGAAGGAATCACACTCCCTGGGGAGCAGAAAAGGGATGGCTGGAGTTTGGTGTGGGTGATAGGGGAGGATGTGACAGTGAGGGAACTGGAATTGACATGTAAAACTACCTTGTTTCAAATTTGAATTTTAAAAATAGGAAAAAAATAAAATTGATCTGCAAAGTAAAAATAAAAAATGATCCCATTTTTAAAAATTTCTCTTACAGGACACACTATCAAAAGCATTCTTGTATTTAAGGTTATAAAGATAAAATTTAATTAAAGCATTAGAAAACTGTATTTCAAAGTATCCTATCTAACTTTTAAATAAGCGCTCACATCATGTTTCCCTGTGTGGTCAATACTATTCTGTTTGACATGGTCACAATTCACAGGCACCTGAAGTTATACTTACAAGAAGAAAGGGAGATGTGTGTGTAAATTGTCAGTGAATGATAATTCACCACTTTTTCATAAATTATACAATTGCATATATACAATCTATGTTCATCAAAACAGTATTATCAACAGGACATATGGGTAATTAGGAAACATTTTAATATACTAAACTGCTATGAGTCAAAAACTATTAAGATCTCAATTGGTTGATAAGTCAATGGAAGACTCAAAGACAGAGAGAGACAAAGCTGACTTTTAAGGGTAAGGGATGGAGAAATAGTTAGGCAGAGAGACTACATATGTAGCATATGTGAGATCTTGGGTTAAGTCGAAGCTTGATTCAGACCACATCATGATAAATAAAAAGAACCACATTAACCTGGGTGCTTGTAAAATTCAAATTTTATTAGAATTACAAAGGAATATGGATAAACACAGATGGTTTGGACAGTCAGTACCATATCAAGTTGTTACGTATTATCCCTGTAAATAAAATAGTCAAGATCCATTAAAATCAAAATGTATTCCTTTGAAATTTACATGAAGAAGCAGTGGAACTATATAGGAGCACTATATGGAAGTGCAAGGAATGTTTGGTCCTTGGTAATGATATTAAAATCCCTCTCCATATTCCTCTCTATCTTTCTCCCCCTCTCCACCTCACTTTCAAAATTGTTTACTTTTATATACCTCAATAATGCTAAGTGATCACTCTACTTCTCCTCAGCAATCCCTTGCTCTCCTTCCCAGGAATGGTATTACCTTGTTTATATCAGTTATTCTATCATGTAGGCAACTTAGGGTTGGTGATGTTATAAGATATGGGAAAGCAGTTAAATTGGAGTCCACTGTGCCAAGATAACAGATTAGTGTGTACCATTCCCCATGGGATACTATGGATAACCTGAAATTTGCTGTGATGGTAGTTAAAAATTAACAAGTGAAATAAAGATTATTTTTAGATAGGTGCTTGGTTTCTGAAATATTACCTGCTATTATGTACATTCATATAGCTTCATGTTCTTTCCAATTAAATATTTTGCTTCTATTTGTATGAATCAAACAGGTAAAGCTCTCTGAAGGAAAATGGTAATGTTTAAGGCTGCAAAGTTAGAAAGCCTAAGCATGTGTACATACAGTTCAGTAAAGTTCTCTTCAGTGACAAAACAAGCCTTCCTTAGTACTGAAATACAAAGTTTCATTGGCAAATAAGGTAGAGCCAGGGAGGTTGGAAGGAATGAAGTGATCAGTAATTAATGAATGAGATTTGGACTTTTAAGTAAAATGGAAAATCACTAAAATGTTATTTTTTTTATTTTACTTAACACATAAGTGTAAATATTATTTTAAAAGAGGAAGCTTTTATAGGTTTGAAGAGAAAACAACCTAGAGAAATGTCCAGAGACAAGACTGACACCAACTAACAATTTGAGCAACAGTGGAATGGCTACCATGAATGCCCTTCCCTGATAATGAGATCAACGACTAATTTATCCACCATCATGGAGCCCTCATCTAGTAGCTGATGGAAACAGAAGCAAACACCCACAACTAAACACTGAGCCAAACTGGAATCCAGATGCAGAGAGGGAGGACAAGATCAGGCTGAAGAAACACACAAAGACAGTGGACATGAACAAGGAGGAGCTAATGGACCCCCAGACTAATAGCTGGGAATCTAGCATGGGACTGACTCAGACCCCCTGAACATGGGTCTCAGCTATGAGGCCTGAGCAGTCTAAGGGACCTCAGACTGTGGAACCAGGATGTATTCCTGGTGCACAAAAGTACTTTGCGGGCACATTTCTCATGGAGGGATACTTCCTTAACCTAGAGACAGGAGAGAAGTCCTAGTCCCTACTCCAAATGATTTAACAGATTTAGATGACACCTCTTGAACAGCATCACCCTACATGTGGAGTGGGGTGGGTGGGAGGGAAGGGAGGTTAGGGGGCATGAGAGATGTAGGAGAGAGAGGGAAAGAAGGAGGGAGGGGTGGAGGAAGAGGGAACTGGGATCAATATGTAAAATAAAAATTAAAAAATAAATTAATAATAAAATAACTGGAACATAAAAGGAAATATATTTCTTAACAGTAAACTAAGTTTTCCTATTTTACTAAAGTAGTATGTTTTGAAAACTACAGATCCCATCTGGGGGCTCAACTAGAGCTCACAGATTGATAAGAATATAAAAAATTTCATAAGAATTATCTTAAAATAATGCATAATTGGAGCCTTAGAGGCAAGAGTGAGTACAGTTCTACCAAAGACTGAAGCATTGCAGATGACCTGATAGGTGAGACTTTGACACAGACACTTGTCTAACTCTTCATTTCTCATAATAGAAGCAACCATTTGAAAAATTTTCTGACAAATTCCTTAAACAGTGGGCCAGTAGCTCCGTATCTAAAACATAAAGGAACAAAATACATACCGGTCTAAAGTAGCAATTCAGTTACTTATCAGAAATTTCCAGACACAAAGCTGAGGATAGAGCCATTTTTAAAACTCTTCAAATTAACCAAGAAACCAGTGCAAGCATATTTTTAGCACTGACCCCCAACATACACACAGACAGACACACACAAACAAACAGACACACACACATACACACACACATACACACACACACACAGACACGCACACACACAAAAAAAATTGAGCATATATGCAAATGACACATTCAATTGTTGGGGGTTTTTTTTGTTGTATTTTTTTTCCTACTCTGTAGAATTACACAATAAGTGATGGTAAAGGTAGCAATGACGACAAATGTTAAAATTGATAATGATTCTGGAAGTTTTCCAAGGGATTCAAAATGCATGTTGATACTATAACAATGTAAACATTACTATATTTCAAGTGGTGTTTATATAGAAAAGTGAAAGTGATTTTATCCCCATTATTCCTATATTATAATGACCCATAAATTAAGGAAGAGAGCAATATAAAATTTCAACTGAATTTCATGATGTATCTGTGCTTTAATCTTTCTGGCCCTTACTATCTTCTATAAAATGCACAGTCAGCTAATACACTTAAAGGAGAGGAAAGGTATAAAGTCTCTAAATTGGTTAGCACATGGCAGATATAGAAGACCTATTTGTTCCTCTTAGTATAGTAATTTTGTCGAAAGCAAAAAGAACTAAGTATATTATCTCTAGAAGCCTTTGTGCATACATTCATTATAATGAGATTATCTTCCTTAATATACCCACTTTTTAAAATTGCTGAAATTATACTGCTTTCAGGAAAGAATTATTAGTTATCCTACACATTTTGTTGGTACATATAGGATTATACCTTGAAATATTTCCATTCTTTTTCTTGTACCTTCTGTACATATTCATTTTTTACATCTTCCTGTAAGAAAACACAATATTTATGTAAGTAAGTGAATAATAATTTTGATTAGTATATATTTTTGTGTCCAACTAATACATTTACAATAAAAGAACCTTGAAACACATGCCCATGAGCAGCTAGAAAACCTCAAAGCAGCTTAACAGGACAAAATAAAAACAAGTGAGCCCACTTACTTTTTTTGCTGAAGATCAGAGAAGCAAAGCAGTCAGTTTACCTCTACCTCATATTGTAAGGGTATGGTTAGCTCCAAAAATCCTGACTGCAATCATAGACTGCTGTCTCTCTTCATCTTGGCTGGAGACTAATTCTCTCTTACTTTAATACCTCCCTAGATTTGTGAGGAATAGCATATGATCCCCATTGTGGAGATCACCTTTGTGTAAACTGTTTCTCTTTAGGACTAGATCATTTTCATGTAACTCAGCTCAATGTGACTTTGAATTAAAAGATCTGTTCATATCTAGCTCTTGGGTTGAGATAAAAGGTGTGTACTACCACTGCTTGGCTCTATGGCTTGCTAGTATTGCTATCGGGATTAAAGGTTTGTATCACCAATGGCTGTTTCTATTATTTGTGGTTAGATTTGTTTTCTGTATCCTCAGGCAAAATTTAATAAATCATAAATAATGTATCGCAACAACAATAGCCTTTACCTCCTTCATGGTTGCATGTCTATTGTTTTTATTCTTGTTCATGTCTTGTTTAGGCAGAAATATTGATGAGACTCCATGGCTATAGCTTCTTTAACATTTCTAGGAGTTTCAAGCTCACAAAAAATTCCCTGGTCCTTTTGCTTTTCCTTACAATCTTTCTGATCCCTCTTCTGCTATAATACCTGATCTTAAATTAAGATCTCTTGAGACATAGATGATAAAGGTTATGTTTAATTAATAACCAATACTCCTACCCAGCTCTGATGCCTATGAACTACAATATCAAGCAGCATTCCTCTGGAAGCAATAGTGGCACACATACCTGTAGGTAACCAATAACTCTTTAATTCAACATGAGGCCCTATTCAACATGGGGAAAATCATGCCTAGTTATGGAAACCTATGCTATTACCTGGGTCTAGTGAGGTCATGGATCTTGGAGAAGATGCTACAATTGCCATTTTACTGAAACTATATATTCTAATTATACTCAAAATATTTATCCTTTTACCCACAAATAAAAATAGGCCTCACCTAGCACCAAAGAAATATCTTGCAACAGACAGAAACAATTACAGAAAACCACAACTGATCAAAATCCAAGCAAAAAGTGACAGTGTGGTGCTTAGTCACAAACCATAATTCTAAAAAACAAACTCTTTAAGTCTCTTTAAGCATGTATGGCCTGAATAGCATTACAATCTAGTAAATTATAAGAGAAATTGAAAGAACACCTGCTATTCACTTAAAGTGACATTTAGCCAACATGATTTCTATGTTGCTATGTAACATTAATATTGTTTCATTTCTTCTGCTAGTTTTTCTCTTGGTTCATAATATCCTTAAAACTAAATTTTTGAGCATAATAAGTAACTATGGCTCTCTATATATAATGATTCAGTGCTTGCATACTTCCATTTAATATTTTAAAACAACTATCTTTTTCATAATCTGCAATATAACTTTTAATTATCAAATGAGTGCCAAAATTTTATGTTTTATAGTAATTGTATTTATGTTTTATTTTAGAAGAATTTGATTGAACACATGAACATTAATACAGATTTCTTAATCAGGAAAAGCTTATTCCACTTTACTTGACTATTCATACTACAGCTTGTGACACTCCTTCAGTTCAATGGGCAATTAACATAATTCAAATAATAGAAAATTTGGTTTCATATATTGTCGAGTATAAGAAGAACATAAAATGTATAAAATATAGAGAAGCTTATTTATCCTCTGAAACATGGTCTTGTGCATAGTATGCTTTCAGTAGTCCAAAATAACTGCCTAATCACTTGTGATTGTTAATAAAAACTGAATACATTAATAGAAGGTAAATCCCATATATGACTCATTTTTAGTAAGTATTAATGAACATAGCACTAAATATAATTTAACATTAACTAACAGACATATAAAAACGTTATTTTATTCAGTTCATGCTTTACTTTGCTGTTCAGAACATAACAAATTCTCAGATTTGGGGGTAAAATATGCTGTGTAGAAACATTTAGATACTTGGTTTTATTTGTGGATGTGATGGTTTGGCAGCCTTTTCTGAAATGATGTCTGTAATGACTCTCAGCATGAAGCAAACTTTGAATTAATTATAGTGGATATGGCTTTCCTGACTTTATTTCTCATACATGAATTGAGTTCTGCATAACTTCACATTGTAGAATAACTAATGACCCCATTCTTTTTTTGTCTGTCCAGTGAAAACAAAAAGCAGATGTTCAATATCAGCAGATGTCCATGGTGACACACTAAACATATGCGGCACTGGAAATCCTAGATGTTCTGGCCTATGTGAATAGAACTGGCTGCACACCCTGGGTTTCCACTAAGCAGTGTCTGGTTTGGTCAGAGTAGGATTTCATTAATGTATTAGATAATGCTATCCTCCCACAGTGTAATTCCTACACCATGCCAAAAGCACTTTCTTCCAAGAAAATAGTAGTAATGATAAACATGAATTTGAAATCCCTAGTTTCACATTACTTCTACATAAATTAACAAATAGGGGCAGGGAGTTTAGCTCAGTGTAAATCCTTGCCTAGCATTCAGAAATCCCTGGGTCAATCCTGAGCATTGTAACAGCAACTATAACAACGTCAACAATCAATCATAAAATCCAAATATAGCAAAAATAATCAACACTATAATTTTAAAAATGATCTACACATTTGCAATAAATTCCTTTGAAGGTTTGTTTATCTAATTTTATGTATGTTTTTGTCCTGCATGTATGTATGTATGTATGTGTGTGTATATATATATACATATATATATATGTATATATATGTGTGTGTGTGTGTGCATGTAATATTAAAAAAAAACATGAATTTAAAGGGGGGGCATGGGAGAAGTTAGAAGGATGATAGGGGAGAAGAAATAATTTAAAAACATTACTCATATACAAACTTCTCTAATAAAAAGACATCCATAAAATGCTTTTATGTTTATAGTGTTCTAACTGATAAAATTAAAAAAATAAATAAGAACAAATATTCATGACAAACACAACTAAAGGAAAGAAGTATTCATTTGGCTCATAATTCCAGATTAGCTCATTATTGCAGGAATATTTTCTTGAAAATAAATTTTTTCATAGAAGATATTCTGATCACAATTACCCCCTCCTCCAAGATGGGAGATGCCAATGAAACAAGGCAATGACACAAGACTGACATAGATATGAACTTATAGAACTGTGGCAGTACGCACATTGCCTGCACAGGACTAAGCTCAACGGAGTTCCAATGCTGAGAGGGGAAGTGGGCACAAGGTTACATCCCTAATCTAGAAGCTATCTCCAATTTATAATCCTTGGCAAAGAAAAAATTGCTTTCTCCAAGTCTCACTGCATACACAAACCATATTTCAGGGAGTTTAAGGTAATAGAACACAGAATCATCTAGTCACATTACATCTTTATCAAGACCAGAAAGCAATGAATTAATACATACATAGCACTGTTCAGCTAGCTTCCTTCTTTTCACACTGTCCAGAGCACAAGCTTTGAAATGATGCTGCCAACATACAGAATGGTCTTTCTACATCAACTAACCCAACTAGTGCAAGCCATAACTAGTAAAAGCCAACCTAATCAAAGCAGTTCTTCATTGTAGTTCCACGTCCATTCCAGATGGTAAAATCTAACCACCACAATTGTTTATGTTTACTTGATTTGCATTAATATTTTTCTGTAGAACCAAGATAAGGTTAGAAGTTTAGTATTTTCCCAGAAATATTTAGACAAGAGTATTATTTTGTCATTTAATTGCCTGAAATATTACATACACACTTTACTGAGTTGTACGTACTTGAGTTTACATATTCAGTTTACTACATGGGCAATGGTATTGCTGAATGTAGTTCCATTGGTCTATTTACCCATGTATATGCTAGCACTGCATTTTGGTGCTCATTTAAGCTTTGTAATAATTCTTGAAATCAAGGAAAGCCCTAGCCTTCCTTTCTCAAGGTTTCTTTTCCTTTATAAATCTAGGTAGGTTATTTCCATTTGATTTAAAAATTTAGAGCAACCTATTTCATCATTTCTTATCATTCTTTGGAGTATAAAATTGACTGTTTTATAAGTAAGACATATGACAATTGTTATAGATGCTAGGGAAAGCTCCTTAATCGCTACTCAAGTTTTAGTAGTACCCAGGAGACCAATAAAATTACTATTTCCCAACACAGTGATAAAATAAGAGGCTTTACCCCTCAAAACATGAGGAAAGTTCATCTTCCAAATACCACACCATCTCAAAGCTTGAAAAGATTTTTTCAAATCTAAATAACAGTTCAGTCTGTTCTTTTAGGATGATATTTGTGGTAAAATCTATTTTTTTATTTCCAATATATTTGCAATTAAGCACTGAATACTATGTGTGTGTGTGTGTGTGTGTGTGTGTGAACATATTAAATAAATACAATGAACATATTTTTAGAAAGCTTAATTCTCAAATTTTCCTGCTTTTATAAATCCTTTAGACTTTTTCTTTTCTTGACCCTACTGTGTTGTTCTCTTTTTCTCTCTCTAATCCTATGCCCCTCTTCCTAAAGGAGTAAAGAAGTTATTGCTATTAATCTACCACATTGAGCAAAAAAGCCATGGGTATCTACATGAATAAACTAGAGCTCAAAAATGAGTTGGAAACAAAACATGGGAATAAAAAAAAACATTAAAAACTGAGAACAGTTTTTAAATCGAAGAAAATATTTGTTTTGAATAAGGAAAGAAACAGAGAAGAGGATAAAAAAAGAAGTTTTTAAGCTAAATAGATATTAGAGTGTGTTGAAATAAAAAAAATATTAATATGACTATAG